AGGAGAGCTTGAACCAAAATGGAAACCCCGTAATCGGGACCACATTGAGTCACTCGACTAATTCAGGTCTCATATTGGCTAAGAGTCCAGTAGTAAGACCCGAATGTTCCCTTAATTGGATCGAATTGGTCCTTCACGTCAGATTGGCTGAGGCCCATAGTAAGACCTGGATTTTTCCGTAATTAGACTGCATAGGGTTGCCCGACTAATTCATGTCTCATATTTGGTAAGAGGACCCGGATTGGATTCTTGAAATTGGATCCAATTGGCTCTTCGAACCAGGCTCACCCGTCGTGTGAATTGGTCCTTTTCCTTCTTGCTGACTTCCGTTATTGGAATCGAATGGAGCATTTTAGTATGCCTCGGCTGACTGTAACAGGGTGACTGAACTTGGCCACTCAGTATTTGCACTAGAGTTGGTCGTTGCTCCTAATATTCGAGGTAACTGAACATTAATAAAAGTCCCCTTTCTTTATATTTTCACGTTATACTCGTGTTACAACACGACACCGCAACTTCCAATCTATGGATGGGTTATGCTTTTCTAACCAGGAAAGACCAAGAATAACAGGATTTGATGGGGTTCTAATAATATTGAAAATAACATGACTACTATGGCCCTTAAACGTCACTTCTATAGGTTCTGATTCATGGGTGACACTACCAGACAATAAAGGTCGTCCATCTATGACCTCAACGTGAATAGGTTTGGATTTTTGTACTAAAGGGATCTTATGACGCTTCGCAACTTCTTCGTCTAAGAAACAAGAAGATGCTCCTGAATCTAATAATGCTTAGATTCTCAGTTTTTGAGGGCCAATAAGTAAAGGGATTGTAAAACAAAGGACAGGTTGAGCGGAAAGAAAGGAACCTAGTTGTTGTTGCAATATTTCACTGTCCAGCCGCACGGTTCCTATTGTGGCTGAGCATCCTCGTTTTCCTGAATAAACGCACCCCTAGTCTTGATAATACGTCGATTTTGCTTCTTGGGGCAGTTTCCAACTTTGTGGCCTTCTTCATCGCAATACAAGCATAGACCTTCCTCCATACACCGCTTTTTTTCTTCTAGAGTAAGAGATTTGACACGTACAGCATCAATTTACATATCTTCTACCTCTGGATGTAAATTCACGCTGCTTGTCGACATAGTTGGGGTGTGGCGAACCATATGTTGTCTTGAATATTGGTCTTGGCGACGTTGGAATAGGCGGTTATCGCACTTCATAGCTTGGCTAATAGCTTCATTGAGCGTTTGCAGATCAGGAAGAGTTAACAGCAAATCCTTCACATTGTCCCTTAAACCCCAATAGAATTGACTCATCAATGCTTCTTCGTCCCAATTGATGTCGCATGCTAATTGCCTGAAGTCCAATGCATAGATTGATGTAGAATGCATCCCTTATTGTAGTGACCTGATCTTTGTTGTAGCCCATCGAACCTTGTTGTGTTCACCAAATGTTTCTGCAAACGCCTCCGAAAAGGTTTCAAAGTTGTTTAGTATGGACGATCGTTTCTCAAACAAAGGAGCAAACAATGATAGAGCTTGTCCTATAAGTAAGGTTCCAACAAGCCCAACACGTGACTCCTCAGTTGGATAGCGTTCGGGTTGTAAAACTGTTATCAACCTGATTTGGTTGACGAATCCTCGAAACTTGGAACGCGTACCATCGAACTTGTCCGGAAGGCTAACTTGGGGCTCCTTATATTGTAGAACCAGTGGTGCTTGTCGAACCTGAGGCAAAGTTGCTTCTCAAAGTGCAGAAGTTTGAGGCTGGTGCAACCTAGATTGTGCCATCCCAGATGCTCCATCATTATGAAGCCTTGCCACGACTCCTTCAATCTTTGCAGTTCTTTGCGATAATGTAGCGAGGGCATTCATGATAGCATCTAACTTGGACTTTGAACTTTCCGTCATACTAATGTCTTGGCCCCCGGCCATTCTAAGAGAAGGACAGAAATGACTTTACAAGAAGACAATATTGGTTTAGAGGAGGGTACTCCGCAACCTCTAAAATGCCTTAAGAACTTCAAGAAAAGGGGTAATCCACTCTCTCCAAGAAGAATAAGACTCAAATATTGTAAAAGAAGTATCAGTTTAGAGGAGGGTAATCTGCAACCTCTAAAATGCTAGTACACTTTTAAGCAGAGGAGTAATCCACACTCTAACAAAGAAGAAACTAGCTCTGATATCTGAGGTGAGTGAAGTCTCGAGAAACTGTCACAGACACAAAAATACAAACTTGAGATCTAACAAGAAGTTCAAGAAGAACTGGCAAGAACTAGATTAAACAGATGAATACAAGAACAACACCAGAGAGGTGAGCTAGAGCTCCAAGAGATGTATTGTCGAGACTGAAGAACTCTTCAGCCTCGATTCCAATACATACTCTTATTTATGAAGCTTCTCAAGCAACTTCTATCAACTAGGAAGCTTCTAGAAGGTTCTAGAGACTTGTTTCTAGAAGGTTCTAGAAACTTATTTCTAGAAGGTTCTAAGGACTATGTTCCTAACATCTTCTACCAATTAAGAAGCTTCTAGAAGGTTCCAGAGACTTGCTTCTAGAAGGTTCTAGAAGCTTGTCTCTAGAAGGTTCTAGAAACTTGTCTCTAGAAGGTTCTAAGGACTATGTCCCTAACAAATAGTTGGAACCATAATAGAAGCAGTTGAAGATGTTGAAGCACTCATTATAAATAAATCTGTAAAGAAAATACAAAATGAAGTAGAAAAGTTGAGTAAAACGTACCTTAAAATATAAAGTCAAATAAAATGATAAACTTGAACTTGAAAATATATATATATATATATATATATATATATATATATATATTTTAACGAGATTGTAGATTAAGGTAGCAGAACAGCAATAAGATGGCACAACAAGCAGTAGTAGGGCGGCAAGGTGGCAACGACGGTCAACGACGGGCAACGACGGTGTCGTGTTGTAACACGAGTATATCGTGAAAATATAAAGAAAAGGGACTTTTATTAATATTCAGTTACCTCGAATATTGGGAGCTACAACCAATTCTAGTGCAAATACTGAGAGGCCAGGGTCAGTCACCCCGTTACAGTCAGCCGGGGCATACTGAAATGCTCCGTTCGATTCCAATAACGGGAATCAGAAGGAAGGAAAAGGACCAATTCAACGATGGGTGAACCTGGTTCAAAGAGCCAATTGGATCCAATTTCAAGACATCCAATCCAGGTCTTACTACGGGCCTCTTAGCCAATCTGACGCGAAGGACCAATTCGACTCAGTTACGGAAACATCCAGGTCTTACTATGGGCCTCTTAGCCAATATGAGACCTGAAATGGTCGGGCGACTCAATGTGGTATCGATTACGGGGTTTCGATTCTGTTTCAGGCTGTCATGTTCTCTGTGCCGTTTCAAGGAACATTGTTTTCGGTAAAAAGATCTCTTAAAGGTAAAAACGGAAGAGAGAACTCTGACGGTGGGAGCCAATTCCGGATCTAAGACGAAAGATTGAAGAAATTCAGAGGTTAGGGTTTGAAAGAGGAGAGAATTAGGATTAAAGAGGAGGATAGGTTAAGAAATGAGGGAAGAGAATAAGTTTTTTGGGGATTTTTTAAAAGGATCAGAGAGCTAGCTTCATGCTTCGGGCAGGGAAAAAAGACAGAGAATTGGATTTTTTTTCTTCATAAGGTTTTGGGAAGACTGAGGCAATCGTTGCTGAATAGTCAAAGTGTTGTACTGGTGAATCGAGATTTTAATGAAGTGGGTGTGATTACTCTTGACTGTTTTGTGAAATCGAAATTACGTCTGTGATGAAGAATTAAAAGGGTGTCTCTAGGATTGAGTATGCAGAGTGAATGAAATTTATTGGGTTAATCTAACGAAACAGTCAGTGGATACAAGATCGTGAGTATAAAGCGGTATCGAAGATTAACAGTTTGGGTTGTTGGGGGTTCTCTGTAACGTCTAGAGATCTACCGGCTGGGGCAAAAAGGACTTCGACAAGCAATCGAAGGGCATCCGTATAAATTTACCGTGTATTCTTGCAATCGTTTATATTCCAACAGTCAATAACCGATAGACTGCTTGAATATTAGCGAATCTCCATACTACCTTCTACAGCCAGATGCCCGGCACGTTCTCGAGCAGGAAAGCACGTAATACGACAACGGGCGACAATGGCAGGTGGCGACGGTCAATGGCAGGCGACAGCGATGGACAGTGGCAAAGGCGGTGGGAAGCAGCGTCAACGAGGACAAGATAGCGACGATGAATTTGGCGATAGCAAGGATGTGATGCAACAAGAAATAAGAAGCAAGCTGGGGTGGAGTTGGACTGGATCAAGTATTCTATACAAGCAGGGCAGAGAGTGGAACAAGTGCTCTAAGTAAGCTAATGTGTGAGGGACTAGTTAGAAGAACAAGATCATGAGACAGACATTGAGAAAGGGTAGCATCAAGTTTGAAGAGTCAACGACTAGAACAAAAAATTGTAATAGTGTATAAAAGAGAGTCGTGCTGATAATATGTTGAGAATGTTTAAAAAGACAGAAGAGTAATAGTAAGTCATACACACACACAACAGTAGTAGTAAGTCATACACATAAGAAGGTTTCTAAAGAAAGAGAATTTTACACTCACAAATCTATTGATCTGGTTGTATCTAGTATACAAGAAGAAAAAAAAAAAGAGGATAAACAATACTTCTCCACTAGACTCTAAATACTATAGCTACAATAATTACTATAGTCTACAATAAAGAGATTATTATGGAGAGCACCAACTACATTTAATAATCTCAACAAAGATAAACTGCAGAATGGACTGAAAGTTGAGTTTTTAATATTACCACGCATATTTTCATTTTATAAAAGCAATAAGTCTAGGATCTTGTTAAGCACACTCTCGTAGACAAGGTTGACAACCATTGGCACAAAAAAGTGTACCCCGTCCATAGAATCTTCATGGACAGCATGTATAGGCAGCAGCAAACCCAATTACAGGATTTTTTCAATGAACAGCATGTACAGGCAGCAGCAAACCCAATTACAGGATTTTTTCAATGAACAGCATGTACAGGCAGCAGCAAACCCAATTACAGGATTTTTCAATGAACAGCATGTACAGGCAGCAGCAAACCCAATTACAGGATTTTTTCAATGATCCCAACAGAAACTATCCTGGCACAACTTTCGTCATCGTCGATAGATTGTAACGTACAACAACAGCAAGGACAACTTATGTTACACATCCTATTACCAGTACACAATCCCAAGTCATACATCGAAACTAGTTCTGCTGAAAGTAAGGTACGGCACGAACGCATCAACCCCTCTTCGCAGAAATTGATCTTTTGAAGACCACGATAGTCAAAACCAACACTGCTAGCATCATACAAGCTCTCAATGAACGCTCTAAGAAATTAACTTTCTCATTACCACCGCTGCCATGAGAGTTCTTCTCGACAGTCTCAAACAACGAAGCCACAAAATTCCGGAACCCTTGAATGAAGTACAGAAAGGCCTTCTTTGACTTCCAAAAGATTTGAGTGAAGATATTTGTGTGCTTCGAAGAGCTTTCAACCTTCTGAACCATACTTACACCACCAGAGGGCATTCCTGAGGATCAAATTAAAACTACTTATCAATCCACCATCCAAATTTACTAAGGAAAAAATACCATGAAGATAGCAAACAGCGAGCCTCAAAAATCCTCCTCAGAATCCTCACCCCAAAAACACCACAAAATGTCTCATATCTTATCAAAGATAAAGTCAAAAGGGCAACTCTTCTGCACGGAGAACAGGATGCGCAGAAGTGATTACCTGCTGTTTTAGGAGCATTAAAGTCACGACGGAATTCTTTGATTTTCTCATTTGCCAAGACCGCATCCCAAACTCCCTTGTCTTTTGCAAGAGACACCACCATTCCCTGCAAAAGAAGTCACATAAAACACTTGTGAGTGATACCAACATATAATCTTTGACAAATGATCGCCCTTACTGACGTCCCTAAATCCAGTTCATCCAAGTGACACACAAATAAAGACTCGTGAGACAAGAAATCGAGCCCCTAACCTGAACCGCAGGATTGTGCTGGAATTGGTGAAATGCCTCTAACATTGCACGGCTTGGAGCCTCTTCTGCCTTAGGGCTGGTTACCACTTCGTATGATGGAGGTTCCATCCAAGCCTTTGGCTCCTCAAAGATCGTGGTCGCCTCGCATGATGGAGGTTCCTTCCAAGCCTTCGGCTCATCAGAGACTGTCGTCATTCCGTACGGTGGGGGTTCCAACCAAAGGTCAGGCTCGATAGAGTGAGCAGAAAGGTCCGACGTAACATCTTCCTCCTTCATCCCAACTGTTGTTACAGTTGACACCTCCGTAACCTCAAGAATATCTAGGCTACGTGGTGAAGATGGTTCCGGTTTAGGCAGCGTCTCAGACCTAGGGACAGGGGGTGTGAAGAGGCCCCTGTGGAAAAAAGAAGAAGAGAAACAAACACACTTCGTCATGGAATAACGTCGACCTAAAACATATCTGTCTATATTCAGCAGATCCAACACAGGATTAACAACGTGTAGCAATTTGAACATCAACTCTTGTTTTCTCTGTCGAATAAATAAGCACACAGGAACAATCTCTATTCCCTAAACCACAATATAACGTAACATCCAAATGAGGCTTCAAAGCGTACTTCAACACAACATAGAGCTGCCGAAAATTTTCAAACATGCAAAACCTTTCAAAAATTACAAGGGGCAACAACTTCTACTTCAATTCTATTCACGGATTAGCCGATGCTGGCGTTCACTAATCGCATCTATCACCTAGATCCACAACAGTTCACGCACAGATCAAGAAAACCATCAAAACATTACGACTGATTTAGGCTGAACAGCAGGGTCATACAAGCTGAGAGCATTTTGAAGTTCCGACGACGCATCCTCAACTTCCTCCACGGTCGGAAGCGATCCAAAGACGTAACGGTCCCGCTCCTCATCCCCTGCAAATTCCCAATCTTCGAGGTCCCAGAACTGTCGAGGCCCGTAGCTCACAGGGGTCAATCCAGGCTGCACCTGCACGGCTCCAGCCGTCTTGCAATTACACGATGCTCCTCCCGCGCGAGCAGACGCTGTTGGAGTCGCAGTGCAAGCGCTGCAATGAGCAGCGGTGGGTGTCAAAGCCACAGTCGGAGCCGCAGCCCCAACAGCCCGCGCAACGTTCTTCCACAACGTTCCCCCTCCCATGCTTACCCAATCGCCTACCCCTGGGGCTCAATTCTCCGTTTCCAAGCCTCGCATCTGGTACCCGATGCCAACAAACTCGATCAAATCATACAGCTCGCCACATCCATGCATGAACCGCCCACTCGATCACAAATCCACGTCAAAGGCAAATGCAGAGCTTCGCCAAAGACCTGGAGAGTTCTCCAATGACAAAGTCGACCCGGCACTTTGCAGGGCGGTGATGCTCGACCCGTGCAACTTTTTCCGCATAAGACGCCTGGTTGCGCAAGATGGACCCGCGCCTTGCTTTGCAAGATTAGGGGTTGCGTCATGACATATCCGCAGCCCCCTTTTCTGGCGGGACTGGTCATGTTCTGAGCAATTTCTTGTCTCGAATGCAGCAGCAGCAACACGGCGCTCTACAACTAATTGCCTTAGGGATGTACAAACTTGAGGGACCATCACCGTAGATATTCTCTGTCAGATTTATAGTTTGTCCTCGATCACTTTTTTCCGCTTGTCTGATTGGGATCTCGTTTGTAGTGAATCACGAAGCTTGGGATGTCCTCTCGCTGACATTCATCCGGACAGCGGACCATTGCTTGGGAGATTGATAGCCCCCCTAGGCCCTAATTTATAACTCTGATCCCTGACCTATAAACCCTACTATTGAACTATAAAGAATTCTTAAAACTCAGTCTTCTAAAACCTATGTATATCTTAAGTTTGGAAATTGAATTCTAAATTCTAAAACTTTGCCACTTCTATACTTCTAAAACAAAGATAAAAACAAAAATGGTTTATTACTTAGACTTTGGGCACAAGTGGGTTGCTCAATGCTCTAGTTCATGGACATTCAATTGAGAGGACATCCATTGCAAGAAATAAACATGTGATGTCTTGTCAAAGGAAAATAATGCTGGTAGAAATTTATGAGAGTATAATACTCCAAGGTTGTATTGTCATGTTCACTTGTTTTTTAATATATATATATATATATATACACACACACACACACACACAATGTAGAGCAATGATGGAAATGTCAAGGTCAATGTGGTGCCCTCTTTTTTTCTATTCTTTATTTTTCAGCTTTTGATATTTGAATTGATTTTTTCTACTCTCTACTTTAGTGTTTTTATCATTTTATAAAGTCTCAATTTCAACTTTTCTTTGACCATTGGTGTAATTAATTTTAAAAATATAGAAAATAAGAACTATGACATAAATTTGTAACAAAGTTTAATTTTTAAAAATATATAAAATGAAGGCAGAGTAAAATATTGTTTAATTGTTTAATTAAATGATGGCAGAGTAAAAATGTCACAAATTTATTAAAGTAAATTTTTATTAAATTCAAATAGATATTGAATTATATTTATTATTTAAAATAATAGATTATCCGAGTAATTATTATGTTAAATAAAACTATTATATATAGAAAAATGTTAAATCAACTCCAATAGTCATTAAATTGATCCATCTATCAAAACCATCATTGTATCTTCTACCCCTTGTCCCAATTCTCTTATCCTTCATTCTTATTCCAAGCCCATATCTCCTATTATTATGTTGTAATACAACTATAAGGTGAAAGATACAAATATTGGTTCTATTATAGAAGAATCTAGTTAAAAGATATAATAGAAAAATATAGATAAAAAGGTAAAAGAAGTAGTAAAAACTTTTAGAATTAATGCCACCTTTTTTAAAAAAAAGATGCTTCTATTTACTTTGTAAGGCCATAAATTAGGCAAAATAAAGTAGATTAGAAAAAAAAATAATATGAACATTTCTAGAAAAAAATTTAAGAGTAGTTTGTAGCAAAAAAATATCTTAAGAATTTAATGAAGATTGCATTCTATTATTATTATTATTATTATTATTATTATTATTTTGTGATTTTTTTGTAGTTGTGGCACTACAACAATGGAGAATCAACAACCAACAAATTTAATGTAAGAGATATTTGTGAGCCCTATTGATAGATCTTAATTAGTAGAAATATTAAAAATATAATTTTAAATTATTCAAATACAAAAATATTAGAAGTAAAGAGTCTCTTTGATTATTTAAGAATTTCTTAGAATTTAGAAATTTTTATAAGATATAAAAGTCTTATTAGAAGAAATGTTACGAAAATATAGTCTTTATGAGTCTTGGAGGCAATTATCTTAATTTATTTAATAATTTTGTTTATTATTAAATATTAATATTTAGATTTTGAAATTAATGTCTACAATGGTCTTTTTTTTATATGTATTACATATAAAAAGGCCTATAAATGTTGATTAGTAGTTAAAAAGAGCATAAAAAGAACTTCATGATTTTTTACTTATATATATAAAAATAAGATTTATAATTTATTTAAATAAATTTTATTATCATAAAAAATCTCCAAAATAAAAAAATATGTTTTAAAATTAATATTAGAATTATAAAAATATCCGAAGAGTTTTTTGAGTTTATTTAGAATTTATTTATAATATTTTAGGAATTTTTAGAGAAAATTTTAAGAATTTGGTAAAATTGGGTTTTACCACCTTAGAAGTTATTACAAAGAAACGAATCAAGATTTGAAGTCCATATAAGATTTCTAAGCTAATGGAATATTTTTAAAATCCTTAGTAAAGTCAAAAATAAAAAAAAATAGTGCTACCACTAAAAAATAGGAAGATCAACTGATAATATAGTCTTTATAGGAAGACAGGTACATAAGTTTCATAAGGATTGTAGTACATTTGATGTAGGTAGGAAGTTAAGACTAAGGCCTTGAGATCTCTTTAAGATACTTTTATATACTATATGTGAGCCTTAACAAGAATTAAAACCTTCATCTATAAATGAATTATCTTGGAGGTAAAATATTTTTATTTAATTTTTTAATTAATTATTTTTTATTTTAAAATATTCATAATTTATTAATATTAACTAAAAATAAAATAAATTTAAATATCTCATAATATAACTTTTATTTTTCATTTTTATTCTTTATTAAGTGAAAATCTAGTAAATAGATGTCATAGAGATATACTTATTATAATTTTTATTTAGGTAATGTGATTAAAAAGAAATAGGTAAAATTAGATTAATTCTATAATATCTTCTATAGAAACTTTCTAGAAGCTTTATAATTGCTGCTTTGACTTCATTAGTATCTATAATAGACTTTTTAGCTTATAAACATGCTCAACAAGTTAACTATGTGCCACACATATGGATAGCTTGAAAAACAAGCTACCTATGTAGTGCACACATAGAAAACTTGCCTTGAAAGCTAAAGCATGTGTCCTACAAAGTCAACACATATTAGAGGTCCTATAGAATATCGCCATAAAACTCTTAGTTAGATAGTATATATAGAGGCAAGAATAAAGCCTTCTTCATTCTTATCAATTCTTTTCTTGCTTCTAGTCTAGATTCAAGAGTCTTTAGTTTCTTTGTTTTTTGGCAATAGTCATTTCAATTTCTTTTTAATATACATACTTTTTTATTTTCATTTTGTTATACTTGTTTATTTACTTTCATCAAATTCTTGTGCTTAACAAATTGACAAGAATATATTTACAATATTAGAGCTTTATCTTTTCTTAATTAATAGTAAATTATTCTTTTTTTTTTTATAAGAAATAAGTATATTAGAAGTTGCAGATTACCCTCTTCTAAATTAATATTGTTCTTAGTATCTTCTTTGTTCTTAAGTCCTCTCTTTTGTTTTTTTTGAGAAATATTAGACATTTTTATTTCTAAGTGTAATTATGGCAAAGTTTTTGAAATGAAGAGTGCAATGGTACAAATGCAAAAGCAATTGAGACAGTTGATGCTTGCAATGCATCAACTTAGTTTATTGGCACCTAGAGCAACAAAAATGGTAGGAAGTAAAGATATAGACATGATTAAAGCCGCTTCAATATCTATATTGAATCACATCCCTTCTTTTATAGTAGAACATGCTTCCAATGTTAGAGAATCCAAAGTTGTCTTACTTGAGAAGTTTGATGGCACAAGATCCAAATTTTGAGGATTTATCAATTAAGTACAACTTGTGATTGAACTTCAACTTCAAAGTTACTCAATACTGGTGTTGTGTTGTAATACAACTATATGGTAAAAGATAATAATATGGATCTTATTATAGAAGACCCAAGTTAAAAGATAAAGTAAAAAAAAAAAATGGATAAAAGATAAGAAGGTAGTAAAACTTTTAGTAGTAATGCTGCCTTTTTAGAAAAAATAGCTTCTATTTACTTTGTAGGACCAAAAATAAGGCCAAATAAGGTAGATTGGAAAAATAAATGATATAGACATCTTTAGGAGGAAGTTGAGAGTAAATTCTAGCAAAAATTAACTAGAAAAACTAGATATTGATACTCGAGGAGGACCGGTTATCAACTTGAGTCGAAATCAGACCTTGAGGCACAAAACTGAGAACCTACGGCAACTCGGAGACTCTTTGGCAGATTGGAGAGTGGGATTTGATAGCAGATTAGATAAGATTTTTGTAAGCATTGGTTTTGGGTGATTTGAAGTTGTTATGACTTTGTAAGAGCTTTACAAAGTCTACATTGTTTTTGGATGACTTGGGGTTTGTGAAATAAAATAGGATTGATGTTTCTAGTGATTTCAAGAATTTTATAATAGATCTATGGATAAAATTTTGTAGGATAGTGGTCATAGTTGTGCTTAATATGTATTTTGAATCTTAGCTCAATCTAATAATTTAATTGAGGGTTATTGAGGTTTAAAAGGGTCAAGGTCTCAGAAAGTAGAATTTTAGGTCTAGTGAGGTTTTTAAAGTTTTCTTATAATCTACTACTTGGATTGGAGTGAAATTTATGTGAAAAGATATTGAACTTGTTCTTCTATGCGTATGAGAATTTTGAGATTAATCGAATGGTAAAAAGAAGTGATATTGGCTCTAGAAGATTGGCATCAAAGTTAGAGAAGGAGGCTTGTGAATTCCCAAGCATGATTTTGAGGTTATCATCTACTTGATAATTAAGATCCTTTTCAAATTTTTTGTGCTTGTTTTCAACTTAATTTTTAATAAGTGTGAAAAATTTAAGTTAAGATCAATAGTTCATTCATTAGTTATTGAGGTTTAAATCTGTTGTAGGAATTACTAGTGTTGTCGGGGTAGAGAGGTTTTGCCTCAAGAAAGCGCTGGGCTTCTGGCTATCACTAGTTGCTCAATCAAGCTTAAAATAAGGAAATCCTAATTTTATATATATAATTTCTCTTTTTGGGACAATTACACCAAATACTTAAGTCTTAAATAACCAACAACACCCAAAATATGGTAGAAGTACTCTAAAACCTTGTATATCCTTGTGTGGAAATTCTCCCGAACCTCAACACCTCATAACTCTTGATCCAACCGTCCAAAAAAGATCAAAGTTTACATGAAGTACTGATATGTTGTTATTAACTTGTACAACAAATTTCAACC